TTTTCCTCTTCCTTTCTCCCCTCCTCCTCCCTTTTCTTCTCCTTCTCTTCCTCTTCCGTTTCCTCATCATCCTTTTCTTCTCTTTCTCGTCTTTCTTCTCCACTTTACCGCTTCTTTTTCTTCTTCTTTATCTTCCTCCTTTCCCCTCTCCTCCTTGTCTTCTTCCTCCTTTTCCAATTTCTCCTTCTCCTCCTCTTCCTCCTCTCCTCCCACTCTCATTGCTCTCACCAGCCCCTTTCCTAGTTATCATACAGGACATCTGTGCTAATGTCTTTTTTATCTTCATCTTAATTGCATCTCAGAAAACCCCATGACTAGGGCTGGGGAGATGGCTCAGTAGATAAAGTGCTTACCACATAAGCATGAGGACCTCAGTTTAATCTCCACAAGCCACATAAAAAAGCCAGGCATGTGTTATGTGCTTGTCATACGTGCACATACACACACACAAAACCATAACTTGATGTCACTATTTTTCCCATTCTTCAGATGTAAAGATCAAGGCTTGGAGGATTTGAATCTGTCCATGGTGGAGCTGGATTTTTTGTCAGCCCTGTCTGGCTGTAGATTCTACCATCGGAACCACACATGCTGAGCTGGAGAGATGGCTTGGCGGTAAGAGTGCTTGCTATGCAAACACAAGGACCTGAGTTGAATCCCCAGCACCATTTGTACCTGTAACCTCAATGAAGTGGGGAGCAGAGACAGAAGGATTGATGGGGCTAGCTGATTGCCAACAAAGCTCCAGGCTCAGTAAGAGACCCTCGTCTGTGATTGGGGTATGTAAGCCAAATAAACCCTTTCCTTCCCAAGTTGGTTTTGGGTAGAGTGCTTTATCACGGCACTAGGAAGCAAACTAGGACAACTGTGTAAAGCTGAATGTGGTAGCAACATGTCTACCACATCCCAGTGTTCCTATGGTAAGATGGGAGGCAGAGGCAAGAGAATCCCCGAGAAACTCAGGGGCCAGCAGTGAACAAGAGATCCTTTCTCAAACAAGGTAGAAGGCAAGGACACTTGAGTTTGTCCTCTGACTGCCACACATGCTTTACGGTAGACACACACACACACACACACACACACACACAAAGTAAATATCAAGTCAGTAGCAGCACATTATAAAGGAACAGGAAAAGCTCCCAGGCTCAAGGTCAAGATCAAGAGCTGAGGGAGACACAGTTGAGAGGCTGCATGAGAGTCAGGAGTCTAGAGGTAACGAATGCTTGGTGCATCCAGCCAATGGGTTGGAAGAAATAGCAGAGGAAGCAGGCCTTCTGTTACTTCAGCACACTAGTTTGTAAAGCCTGAATCAAGGGCTTCAGGGTCCTTCTTCTTCCTCCTAAAGGCACCAGTCACTGTTTTGGTGGTGATCAGCAAAAGGAACTTCAAAAATAGCTCTCCTAAGAGAATCTGAATTTTCAGTATACACCTGGGGATGACAGGAGAAGGTACCATGTGGATTTTCAATGCTGGCTAGGGGTGTCATTTGGAGATAGGATGTTTTTTGAAATGGCTGAAATCAGATCACCCCCTGTACTTGATCATGATGCCCATTATGGTCCAAGTGAGGGATACAGCACAGAACACTTTCTACATACTCAGTCCCAGAGGAAAAATGTTTATTTCAAACTGAGAATCATCTTTCTTTCTCCAGAGCAAGAGATAATACAGTGTATGTTCTAGCATTTAACTTTCTACATACTCAGTCCCAGAGGAAAAATGTTTATTTCAAACAGAGTCATCTTTCTTTCTCCAGAGCAAGAGATAATACAGTGTATGTTCTAGCATTTCTTTGTACCAACTGTTAAAAGCTTTTCACCATTTAGACATCATCATTTATTAGAGTATTGAGAAAAGATGGCTATTATTATTTCTCTGAATCTCCTGGGGAGCCTTCATGGCTGGGTGTTGTTTAAAATGATAATTAGTCACTCAGTTCAAGATTATTACCTCTATCATTCACCAAAATAGTTGTAGTCTTCCGGCTCCAGGGACATGGTATCAATTAGAAGATACCCAAGTCTTGGGCTGGGAAGGTAGCTCAGTTGGTAAAGTGCTTGTTGTGCAAGCATGAGGACTTGAGTTCAGATCCCCAGAATCCATGTGAAAAAGCTGGGCAGAGTTACACTTGTCTGTAATTCCAGTCCTAGGGTGGCAGATCCCTGGGGCTTCCTGGCTGACCAGTCTAGCTGAGTCAGTGAGTTCCAGCTTTAGTGAGAGAGTGAGAGATCATGTCTCAAATAAGATGGCGAATGATAGAGGGAGAGACCAGACATTGACCTCCGGCATCTACATGCATATAGAAACATATACCTGTGTACCCTGGTCATGTGCACACACAGGAGAGAGAGAAAGAGAGAGAGACAGACACACAGAGAGACAGAGACAGAGAGAAGAGAGAGAGAGACAGAGAGAGAGAGAAGAAAATGCCAAAGTTCTTCAGTTTCCCAGGTCCTCATCAGTTTTTCCCTCCTCTATTCTGCCCAGACCTACATCAGTCTTCTTCCTTTCTCACTAAATTCAGTGACATGTGGTAGAGTTTTAAATATGTGCTTGTACTATATTCCTTATTTATTTCTCAAAGTGATGATAGCCCCAATAAATTCGCTTTAGAGGGGAATGCACTTGGGTTTAGACTGTTTCAGTCCTTCAAATATATGGGGCATTTTGCTGGTGTGGAATTTTCAGTTCCAGTACATTGCATACAGGACAAATTATGATCTCAGATGGGGTTAGGAACTGGGCTTTTCTCTGCTGGGCAGTGTCCAGCAGAGTGCCCCTTTGTAGTCTTCTATCAGTGGGTCCTTTTGCCTTTCTGGACATTGTTCTCAGGATGTCATGGTCCCTAAGCCTCCTCCCTGCTCTGGAGGAATATCCCTTCTTCTTCTAGAGCTTTCTGCCCATGTCATCAAACCCTAAGACTGTGGTGTCACAAAGTAAATATTTAATCTTTTCTCCTTGGTTCCTGGCACAAGAGCTCTGAAAGATCTTAAAATCTCTCAAGTAGTAAGAGTTTTGAATGCTGATGAGATAACTCACAGAGGGTGGTTGGGTGGGGACTGGGGATGGAGTTCTCAGCTTCCTGCAATTTAGCTCTTTGAAGTGATGGAGAGGGGAAGAATATGAGACTATGAAATAGCCAAATAATCATAGCAGAACATTCCTTGAACCTCAAGACTAGACAGGTGCAACCCCAGTGGCCCATACATTCTTCCTATAGATGCCACATTATTTTATTTTAAATTTTATTTATTCTTTTTATTTTATGTGTATATTACCTGCATGTATGTAAGTGCACCCATGTCGTGCAATGCCCAAAGAGGTCAGAAGAGGGCATTGGATTCCCTGGAACAGGAGTTAGAGACAGTTTTTAGCCACTGTGTGAGTGCTGGGAATTGAACCCAGGTCCTCTGCAAGAATAGCCAGTGTTCTTAATCACTGAGCCATCTTTCCAGCCCTTATTTTATTTTCTAAAGCTTCTCTTTCATTAAAAAAAATTACATTTTAAGTTATTTCACATGTGTGGCTTCTATGTGGAAATCAGAGGACAACTTGCAGGAATCAGTTCTTTCCTTCTACTTTCTGGGTCCCAGAGATGTAACTCAGGTCCTCACGCTTGGTAGCAAGTGCCTTTTATCATTGAGCCATCTCATGGCCCTGAACTACTTTATTAATAATGCATCTCTTCACTAAAGGCTAAGAATTGCTGCCGTTCTGCTCTGTAATATCATTGGAGTATTAAATGCAGCCAGTGCATTGAGGCCAGCAATGGACTTTTAAAAATAGCATATTTATATAGATAATTAAGGTAAGGAGTTTAATAATCTATCACAATTTTTCTAACAGAACTAAATATAAAACTCTGTTGTCCAAAATTGTTTATTTGGCTTAATTAGCCAACTTTTTACTTATTGGAGTTTGGATTGATCATTTAAAAACTGCTTAAGAACTGGAAACTTTCTCAAGCCCAATGGATTGGTGTTATTGGTTTTTCTTTTGTTATTATGTTTGCATAAATTGAAATATAGGTCTCAAAATTTAAAGGTCAAAATGTGTGGAAATTAAATTAGTTTGAACCTAATATATTTAAAGATTTACAAGTGTCTAGAAAATGGTAAAACAATGTTTTCACTTTTCATGCAATTACTTCTTTGGGCCATTCATATGTTACTGACGTCTGTTTTTGTACCATAGATTTGACCTGTCTAGTGTCTCTCTGTCTCTCTGTATGCATGTGTATGTGTGGCACATGCATGCTTGCATGTATTTGGGTGCACTTGGTGCAGGTACACATGTACATGGAGACCAGAGGTTGACACTGAGTATCTTCTTTGATTGTTCTCCACTTTATTTATGAGGCAAGGTCTCTCTCTGAATGCATAGCTTGCCGATTAGGTTAGTCTAGCTGGCCACCTTGCTTGTCTGCCTCTAAAGCACCATGATTATAGTCAGGCTGCCATACCCACTTGACTGATGGGGATCTGAACTCAGGTCCTCACGCCTGCAAGGCAAATGCTTTATCTACTGAGCCATCTCCTCAGACCTTGTCCAGTATTTTAGCTGTTATAAAGTATTTACAATTCTGCACTGAGTTGACATCCATTACAAATAGTACATCACTTATGACTATATCTATCTATCTATCTATATATATCTTTTATATGGCACAGATAGCACCCCATCACAAAGTGAACACATGTTATCTCTTGAATAAGAGCTTGTCTCCCAGACAAATGTTATATGCTAAATTAAGATGATAATAAATACCTGTCTACTGGTACTGCAGACCTAGCACAAATATCTTGCTGTGATATTTCCTATTCTAGGAATAGTGTAGACATCTCTTGGGTACCTTTTTCTTTTCTAACCCACATAGGTGGGAGAGAGTTATTGGTTTGGTCTGATAAGATACTTTGCACACAGGGTAGGGTCAAACCAATTATCTTCTTGACTGACCTATTTTAGAAAATCCTGCAAATTCTTGCAATCCATAAGGGAGAGAGTTTTGGCACAACAAACAAAATTCTGATCAATGGGATTTGAACAAGAGGACTTTTTTTCCTTAGAAGATAATTAGATGTTAAGTACTGTGGAAAGATTTCTTGAAGTTTCTTCTAATTGGAGATGCCCACCTGTAGCCCTGATGGAAGAGGGAGCCAGCTGGGGAGTATTTCGGTGGAAGGACTTCATCTCAGGGAGACAGTGCTGCCAGCTTCTCCCCAGGACAGGTGAGGAGTGTGGTGTCCCCTCTACACACACAATCACTTGCTGATGCATCAGCCTAGGCAAGGGGGCCACAGCCTGGGTCCTCTGTAAACAGACACCCATAGAGAAGGCATAAACTACATATTTTTCAATTTTGTATTTTTTTACGAGTGCATTTTATTTTTATCAAATCCACTTCTCACCCCCTCAGTTTTTCCCACATCCCTTTCCCCATAGCCCCTCCATTCTATCAAATACAAAGTTAAAAAAAGATACAAGACCCTGTCACCATAAATAATGACAGACTAATTTATGCTCTCAGTAAATGTTGCTGACCTTGAGTGAACTGGATGTCCTCATAGCATAGAATAGACAGAGGCCAAGAGCAGGAAAAGAACAGCTTGACTGTTGCCAAATTTGTTGACTATAAGGAGAAATAAGAGCATGAATTGAGATTTTGGGCAATAGTTTATTTTGTGAAAGTCAAAATTTAAATTATTTAAGTGATATTTTTAAAGTTACTCCAGGGACTAGAGAGATAGCTCAGCAGTTAAAAGCACTGGTCCATAACTCCAGTTTCAGGGACTCCAACATGCTCTTCTGACTTCTGCGGGCATTGCACAGCACGGATGCACTTACACACATGCAAAGATTATACTCATACACATAAAATAAAAATAATAACATTTTAAAAAATAAAAGTTACTTTATAAAATTTTGGTCATTGCCAAGTATAGTGGCAAACACCTTTAATCCCAGCACTCAAGAGGCAGAGGCAGGAGGCTCTCTGTGTGATTGAGGCCAGCCTGGTCTACATAGTGAGTTCCAGGCCATCTGGGGCTACAGGAGGCTCTGTCTCAAAAGACCAAAACCAATATTGGTCATAATGTTTAAATTTTTATTATTGTCTTCTTACCATTAGAAAGCTTCTCTGAGGTCTGGCGAGTTGGCTCAGTGGGTAAAGGTAAATTGCTGTGAAAACCTGACAGTTTGAGGTTTTCCTAGAACCTGCATTAACATAGAAGGAGACAACCAATTCCACAGATCTCCACATAAGTATTGTAGCTCACATCTCCATAATACACATGTCACACACACAAATAAATAAATAAATAAATAGTGGCTGGAGAGATGGTTCAGTGATTAGGAGCACTGGCTGCTCTTCCAGAGGACCTGGCTTCCATTCCCAACACCCACATGGTGGCTAACAACCATCTGTAACTCTATTTCCAAGGGTACTAATGATCTCTTTGGACAACCGCAGGCATTGCACAATACAGGTACACTTATATATATATATGCAGGCAATATACTCAGACATAAAAATAATAAATAAAATATTAAAAAATAAATTTAAAAGCTTCTCTGAGTCTAATATAGTATGTTTTAAACTTTAGGTGGGATTCCACTTTATGAGTTTTAGTGAATTTTTAAAGCCAATTATAATTAGCAAGCTTTGTTAAAATATCCCTTTGGCTTGGAGTTGTGTGGAAGTCTGTGTTGATGAGTGTCTAGGGAAGGCTCAGTTTCAATACAATGACCTAGAAATTCTGTAGCTATATGCCTAATGAAAATGATCTGTGGTGGTTAATTTTCATTGTCAACTTGGGGGGACTTAGAGTAAGTGTGGAAACACATCTCTGTGAGCACCTACAAAGATGGTTACAAAAGGTTTAAAGAAGTAGGGAAGAACCATTCTAAATGTGGGTGGGTGGCACCATCTCATGGGCTGGGATCTTGGACTGAATAGAAAGGAGAAAGCCAGCTGAGCACCAGCATTCATCCCTCTGCTTCCTGACAGTGGATGAGATGTGGAGCTGTCTCAGCTTCCTACCATCCTAGTATCCCCTCCAGGACGGACTGTACTCTCAAACTGTGAACCAGAATAAATCCTTCTTTCCTTAAGTTGCTTCTTTTCAGGGGTTTGGCCTTTCATGTATTACTTTGTGCATTATATTGACCATATGGTTGTCATGGTCTGTTGAATGAAAATGCTACTTATATTAACCACTAATTTACCTAGCAATGTAATTGCTTACAAAGGATTCAGTTCCCAGAGTCAGCTGAGTCCTTTTTACCAAGCAGGTGACAAACAAACACAAAACTATGGTCCTGCTCAGTGCCTTTTAGTTCTTTAACTTCACGGAGAGAAACTTGTGTTATCCTCTTCCTTCTGTGCTCATTGAGAAGAATTCTTTGATGCTGGTCTGAACCTGTTTTGTTCTCCCCCTTGGGATATCTTTCCCCCCACAATTTGTGTTCTCTGTTTCTTTGGGAGTTCCACTGCCTGTACATTTTTCTCTTCCTTTATTTCTTCCAAAGTTTGTAATTTCTGTCTTGACTTTGACTTTCTTCCTTCAGATTTTTGCTTTTATTTGACAAGCTCTCTGAGGGCTAAGAGTGGAAAGATTCAGGAGAGCATTGGCTGAAAATTGATATGAAATTCCCAGTATAGTTCTGTTAGATTAATTAGCACTAACATTTTTTTTGGTGAGCAGTAAAAGACCAGTATTTGGAAAAGAAATCCCCCACATGTATTTAATGCTATTTTCCCTTCAACATTTGTTTCTACAACCATAAGTGGAATTTTCCATACAGAGAGTTTTGCTTCACTGGTGGTGAGTGAAATTGCTCTATTTGTCTTTGATTACTTTGATACAGTCTTTAGTTAGACAAAGAAAAGACCATTTAAGCCAGCTTTGGTACTAAAGCTTCATGTAGATTAAGCTTTCTTGTGTTTTCCTAACTTACGTGAACTAATAACAATTTTACTGGGAGAGAGTGGCATGCCAGGGAATCAAAGAAACAGAGAGGAAGGAGAGTCTCAAAAGGAAAATGGGAGAGAGGTAAAATGCCATTTGGGCACCATCTTGGATGCCTGACATTGCCTGAGACCCTTTAGATGAAAGAGAGTTTTTGTTTTTATTTGTGTGCATGTGCATGTATGTGCAGCTACCTGTGTATCTATGTGTATATATGCACATGTTTGAACATTGATGTGGAAGCCAGAGGACAACTTCAGGTATTGTTCATCAAGCACCATCCACATTGTTTTCTGTTGTTTGTTTGTTTGTTTGTTTTGTCTTTTTGAGACAAGGTCTCCCTGTAACTCCAGCTGGTCTGGAACTCACTATGTAGACCAGGCTGGACTTGAACTCACAGAGATCCGCCTGCCTCTGCCTCCTGAGTCCTGGGATTAAAGGCGTGAGCCACTATGGCTTTTTTTAAGATACGATTTTTCTCTGGCCTGGAACTCACTGGTTAGGCTAGGCTAACTGACCAATGAGCTGCAGGGATCCACTGATTCCTCCTCCCAGCACTGAGATTCCAAGCATGTAGCACTGTGCCCAGCTTTTTCACATGGGCTCTGGAGACTGACTTTAGGTCCTCATGCTTGCAATGCAAACTCTTTACACACTCAACCACTTCCCCAGCCCTAGATGAATAATTTTTGGTGTCTCTCTGTCACATATATATTTTTTATATGTGCTGCATATATTTTCCTTTTTTTTTTTTGTCACAGCCCACACTCCAACTCACAGGTGCACATACAAACACACAGGTGTGCCTTTGAAACATAGTGTCATGTCTCTTACATCTGACAATGTAAAAACATTTCTTTATTTTGTGTATATGTATTAGGTGAGTGGGGACCACTGTGTGCACATGAAGGTCAGAGGACAACTTTTGGGAGTTGATTCTCTCCTTCACCATGTGATTCCTGGAGATGGAGCTCACTCATCACCCTGCTTGGCAGCAAGCTCCTTTACCCATTGGGCCATCTTACCGACCCAAATGCTGATATTTTCTATTTGATGTTCTTTGATATTACTGACCTCAAAAGAACTATGCTGATTCCATGAGTTGCTTACAGGTGACAACTTGAATCTGAATGGTGCCACTTTAAAAATTAAGTGTACTCATTTCTGTGGAAATATTCTCACTTTCTTTTGTTTTGCAGTGTCAAGAATTGAACACAGGGCCTTATATGTATGAGGCAAACAGTCTCTCACTGAGTTACATCTATAATCCTTATTTTTTCAGTTAATTTTTCATTCTCCTGCCCCTCTCATCTCAAGCATTGGCTAGCACTACTGTTTGCTAAAGGGTCATGACTTCTCCTGACCCAGTTAAATGCTTGGAGATGTAAATAAAGAGAGGATTGAAATTCTGAAAGCTCAGGGCTTAAGTGTCAGAAGAGTAAACTCACAGACCAGCTCAGCTGGAAACAAATGGATGATTGTATGATGATGAGAAGGAATCAAAGGGCTGCTAACTGTGCTTGGATCTTAAGATTCTATTCAAGCAAAAGCCATTTTCTATTCAGTAAAGTATGTGAGTTTACAGAACATAAATATTTAGATTTCATGTACATGGTATGGGAGGAGTTATTGACAACCCCTCCCTTATGGGGAGAATAATGAACTCTGATAATTTAAAATTTAATTGAATATCCACAGGACAAAAATGTCACCCTGTCCCAATTTAAAAAAAAAAAAAAAAAAAAAGAAAGAAAGAAACAAGGCAAGTCTACTGTATGTAGTCCTCCCAACTATACCTGGGCGGATTCAGCCAATACTTTCTGGGGAAAGAACTTTCGGTCAGAGTTGAAAAAGGTTCAAATGGGATCACATGTGAGATTTTAAAGAACACAGACTCTGAAGAACCAGAAGGATAGGTTAACTTAAATGAAAGGGAACAAAATGTTCTTAGCGCTGGATTAGTTTACATGCTTGTCACTGTGATATAATACCTTACAAAAGCAACTTAAAGAGGAAGTGTCACAGTTTGGCTTGCAGTTTGAGGGTGGGGAAGTCATGATGGGGGAGTCATGATGGCAGGAGCATGAGGCAGCTGGTCACATTGCATCAACAGTCAGGAAGTAGAGAGGGGTGAATGAGGATACTCAGCTCACTTTCTCCTTTTTATTCAGTCTAAGACCGTACCCCATGGAATGATGCCACTCCTATTTAGGATGGATTTTCCTATTTCAATTAGCCTGATCTAGAAACTTCCCTACAAGTATACCCAGAAGTTGGCCTTCTAGGTGATTCTAGATCCTGTCACTAGGTGATTCTAGATCCTGTCAGGTTGACAATGAGTATTAACCACCATAAGTGCAATCGTGTTTGAAATGAACATCAAAAGGAAATATTAGGTGAAAACTTTCAGCTGCCCATCAGATGTGTCTTTCCTTCAAATGTCACCCCACCAAAGCTGTCCTGAGAAACATGGAAGACAAAGGGTGTCAGGACTCTCCAGGTGAAACTCTGGGAAGACTACATATACTCTTACTATTCAAAGAGTGGTCCTCATACCACCACAAACAGCAGCACCCTCTAGAAGCTAGTCAGAGAGAGAGCCAAGTTTCTCCAGGTGAAACTCTGGGAAGACTACATATACTCTTACTATTCAAAGAGTGGTCCTCATACTACCACAAACAGCAGCACCCTCTAGAAGCTAGTCAGAGAGAGAGCCAAGGGTAGCATCCCCTGGTGTGGCTAAAAGAAGCCTGGAATGACTCCTCTCCCTGGGGGCATGTCTCAGAACAGACTCAGGAATAAGACCACATCCTTCCCTTGACTGAGTGGGAGAGGAATCCGGCATCTGGCTTTTTCAGGTAAATCCCACTTATAATCACAAATGATACTGACATTTCATTTTTTATTTATTCTTTGACAATTTCACAATGTATCTAATGAATTTTGATCATATATACCCCATTACCCTCTCTTATCTCCTTCCTACTCCCCCTGGACTCCTTCCCAAGAAGTTCCATCCTACTTTCAAGCCTTTTGCTTTTGACCAAGTTTACAATACCAGACACGAATTCCATACTTAAATCCAATCAGAAAGCTGCTGGTTCCCCCCATAGCAGGTATGCTGCTATTTCACTAACGGGCACATTTAGCCTAGGTTGATACTGTTATTTGTGAATCACATAAAAGAAAAAAATTATATAGTTATTGGCTTCCTGTAACACAGTGTATACTGAGATAATTTTGTTCA